TTTTTAGCACATTAAGATTGCTAATGCTGTACAGGAAAAAGTTATGGAATTATAATTACCTTGGCTAAGGAAAGGATGCTGTGACTGGCATTATCCAGCAGATGTCAATGTTGCATGTGTATGGTACACAAGCTGTTGGAACGTAACACTGGGACCTGACACGGAGACTCCCTTCTCTTTGCACGTAAAGCACATATCTCGCCAAAGCATTTGAAACCCAGAGTTGATCCTTCCCTTGAGGAATGTCAGGGATCAGGCTGCAGACTGCGACCGGTCATTGAGATGGGAACACTACTGGGTTGTAAACAACTCTCTTTCAATGATGGTAATGTATCTGAACCCATGCAAATTAATGATCTGTTTCTAAGACCAAGTAAAATAATGGAAGACTTACGGGACACACAGTCACCTCTTTTGTAATGGTCTCAGTCTGCTACTTGGCAGATTGCCAGCTGAAGACCAGCCATACGTTGCAACTCTCAGGCCTCGGTTCGAAGCAAACTTCCAATATTTGCCCACTCATACAGTTTACCATTCACAAAGCAGACCATTTGCAAATAGGACTTCCGTTTCTGAAATGGGCTTCACCTTCCACTCCTCCCCACACTCCCAAAATCTGCTCCAAAGAGTCCCCCACCCACCCAGAGCAGATTTTGAGGATGTGTGGAGGGCTGCAGGGTGGGAGAGAGAAAGTTGAAGTCTCACTGCACAAAATATGAAGTTTATACTGCTCGTTCCCATGGGTGCCACTCTCTCTGGACACTTCAGTAAAATGAATCTGAGCCTCGAAAAGTGCATAGAGCTGAAGTAGGAAGTGGGAAGGAGTGTCACGCTTCCAACTTCCTTCTTCAGCTCTATGTATTTTTAAAGGGAAGGGAAGATGACTATCCTCACCATCCCATGATCAAGGGGGCAGTGGGAGGGGATTCAGATACTTCGTTACACCCAAGTGGCAGAAAGAACCCTATAACTGTTTAAAATGCTAGCAACAGTTCCATCCTTCAGGGTTTTGCCTGTTAGTAGACTACTAGGAAAAATGAACTTTGTGTCTTCGTAGGGAGGGGTTCTCTACTTCAAGAGCCAGGGGCTTTTGTAAACTTTTATGGTTACTTTGCTCTTTTAGCTATGAAGAACCAAGCCCTGTGTGTCAAGACCTCCTCTAGATTCCTTTTTTTCTGGCTCATGCTAGATGGGATGTTGTAAGTGTCTCAAGTGATTAAAAGTCTTCTCTGGGAAGAGACCAGAGGGCATTTAGGGAAAGAGCAGTGTCAAAACAGCAGGTACTAACAAGTCAGTAGATTGAGTCTCATTATCCAATGTCAATTGCCTTAAAGATGTTCCTGTTTCATTCATCTCTTGTTTATAGTTTCCAAAATAATCCTGAAGCATGTCTCCTTTGGGCAAGCCGCTCAGGTTCTTACCAAATACCCTTTTGGTGTTCTTGGATGTTTTATTTTTGTTGGCATGGACTGATGCTTGTTTAGATATTCCAGACATCCACTCCCAGCCTACTATAGGAACTGCTGGTCCTATTGGATGTTCACGAGAAAACTATCAGGAAAGTTTGGTAAATTGGAATCAGTGAAGCTTAAAAGCCCAAGAGGACGGCAGCTTAACTATAGGGCAACATAACATAAAACATTTGAAGGAAACTGATAATTTATGTATAGCTATTTTTGCTGGTGGTGCTGGTGTCAAGAAATAATGAGTCGTATCCAGGATTCTGCTAGCACAAGAGCATTTGCATTTCCTCTCCTTCCTTGTGTGCCCCCCAAGGGGTGGACCACACCTCCAGAACTGATTTTGAGGGGTATGGGAAGCTGCAGGGGACTGAAAAAGAATCTCCATTGCATGCTTGGAAGTCTGTTGTCTCAGTGAATCTTCAGTTTTGGGTAATTCCCAATATGTGTCAGAATTCGCATTTGCACTGCTTTGTTCAAACATAATATGAAGAGTTTAATAACTCAGTGTATTAAAATGAACACAAAGGTAGTTGATGCTCTGAGGTTTCATTCCTTATACCAACTTTGCCTCTAGGTTACACTTTCAGCTGAATGGTTTATCCTTGCTTCTGTCAGCCCTGAACTTTCAGCGGGCACTGCTCCTGTGAAAAGAGACCCACATCCACAGATCCATTTCAAAATGATCCTACAGAAAATTGCTGAGATACACATATTTTGCAAAAGAGGATGTACAATCGGAACGAAGAAAAAGAAAAGAGTTCCGAGGGATTAAGTGATGCAAGTCAAGCCAACCTTTGTTTATACTTGGTTAAAAAAAGGAGAGATTAAGCTTATCTTGGGAAATGTCAGAATCAGTAGCAAATGGCAAATACTGAATAATCCATAAAGGTTTGTGACATCAAGATAACAGATGGTTTGTTTTCGCTGAAAATATGTTTTAGCACCATTGTTCCTGTTCACTTAATCTATCTAGCAGATCTTACAAAACTGAGTTTGCCTTGTAGAATCTTAGCAATTTTGTACTCTAAAGAAAACTCCACAATAGTAAGCAGCAGCTGACTGCATGACTATAGGTTTTACTGCTGCAAATAGTCTAGTCTGCCTTGAATTGCAACTTTGCTTTGATCAACAGTAGATAGCAAAGTGTATCCAAGTTATGTATGCCTGTGAACCTATTGGAGAGCCCAAACAGAAATTTGACCCTAGATAGCCGGCAAACAAAAACAAAACATTTCGCAGTCATAGACACCATGTATGTGCACAACCAAACACATGCAACTGTGCACATGTGCATACACATCTCTGGCAGCAATTTGGCTTGAAAAAAGTGTTCTGCTGTAGGTGATATGAGGACTTCTTTGAGCCTAACTGCAGTGAGAGAAGGGCAGTTTTGGTGTCGGTGGCAGCTGGGGAAGGAAGAGTTAGTTCTTGCTTTCCGAGTAAGAACCTCCTAAATTGCACACACTAAAACACCTTGATTGCAGTCAGGGTTGAACAAAGTCTTCTATTGGCTGCAATAGAATGCTTCGTTCAAGCCTAATGGTGGCAGAGGTGAATTTTTGGTGGAGGGGAATTAACTCTCCCCAGTTTTAACCCACTCATATTGCCTCCTTGTGTCACAATTAGGACTGGAAAAACCTCCTATTGGCAACAGTTACAAGGCTTTTTTCAAGCCTGATTTCGGCACCAGGCAGGACCCTGTAGATGCCCTTGGTGACCCATCCTGTAAAGGCTTCATAGAACGTGTTATGCTGAACTTTATGAGCAGTGTTATCTGGGCGATGAATTCACAAGCATTGGGTTATCAGAGTTTTTATTTGGGACAGATGCCGCAGAATAAAAATAAAATTGGGATTAAGGAGTTTTCTCAGAATGGTGGAGGGTGTTTGTGCTGTGTCCCAGTGATGTAGTGGTGGTAGCACTTCTGATAGGAAATGCTCTGTAGACCGGGGGTGGGGGAGCTGGAATTGGTGTGTGTGAGAAATGTCCCTATTTTCATCTGAGGAATGTTGAAGGATATGAAACATTATGAATAAAATGCTTGGGTCCAGAACAATGTACCCATTCCACTAGTACAAGGCAGTTCAATGTGCTAGTGCAACAGGGCTCCCCCCCTCACCTCACCCTCCGTTTCTCCCCCAAATCTGCTCTGGAGAGTTTGGAGAATCCCCAGGTCAGTGCACTGGGAAGAAGAGGAAGATCATTCTGTTGGGCAATAAAAAATGCTTGTGTTGACTTCTGCCCTGTGTGGAGTTTGGCTTCTTGGGTACTTGTAATCCAGGTAAACTCCAGGCCAAGGGTCACCAACCTATGGCCCGGGGGCCAGATAAGGCCTGACGGACTTGTTTATCCGGCCTGCGGCGACCCCCACCGCTGCCCGCCACCACCCGCCCTTACCGGAGTGGCGCGGCTCGGTGCGGGGATCCACTTCCAGGGCGGAGGAGCACTGGAAATAGCTTGTGCGCATGCACACAGGCCTCCTCCAACCTGGAAGTGCACTGGAAATAGCATGTGCGTGTGTGTACTGACACATGCTCCCCCACCCTCTGGCCCGCTGCGCAATCGTTGCTGGAGACACTGGCCCAAAGCAAGGAAAGCTTGGAGACCCTTGCTCCAGGCATTGTCTGGAAGAGCCTCTCCTCTTCCAAGAGGGGAGCTGTTGTGGGCGGGACGCGATTCCTGCGTCACGCAGGGGGCGTTATGCCCCCTGCCCACTCACCTGGCTGGCGCTCCACGCCCACAGGTAAGCACCCAACTGGGCAGCTTGGAGGGGGCGTGGTTGGCAGTTTAAGATACTGCTGTGCCAACCATTCTGCCTCATTTTCCGCCTTCTCGTGCAGCGGTTAGGCATTGGAATGTGTTGTTGGTGTGTGGAAGGGCTAGGTGTGGCCATCGCCTACCCCTTCAAATATGGGTATTCCGTTAAAGGAATCTGGCGGTCGTGGATCCTGTCCAATGCCTGTGTGGCGGGGGGCCATGGCACGACCCTCGGTGACATCAGGGGAGAGCTTATAGTTGTATTAGCATCAACAGGCTTCCTTCTGGTGAATAAACAGCCTTTTCGGCTCACCCCTCTTTGAGTGGGTGGAGTCAATCTGTCGTGGTCCAATGCCTAAGCCAATACCTTCTCACTTCCTGTAATCAATAAAGTTGTGGCCTTTTCTTGCCCATTAACCTTATGCACTGTGTCTGTGTGTCTTCATTCCACAAAGCGGGGACCGGGTCCTCGAACCACAACAACAGGTTGTGAAATTCTTAGTCAAGAAATGCCCTTTAAAATAGGGTGTCTCATTAGAAAAGAGTATCATTGTGCAAATGGATTATTTTCAATAAGGTCCTCAAACTTTTGCAAAGAGATCGTGATGAAAGCTCAATATGCAAGTTACCTGGCATATCCTAGGCCTGTTTACTGAGAAAGCTCTTGGCACAATAATTTGGAAAATAAAAAAGGAGTAAAAAGCTAACATATGAAAATCTTTATTCTCTGCACACATATATGGCAGTTCTGTGGTTTTACAGAAAGTTACTGAAAGGTATGGCCTTATGTGTCAAATACAGTAAATACTAATTTGAGATTGACCTCATGTTCTCCCGTGTTACTGCTTGAAGATGTTCTATAGCCTCGCTGAAAAATTTCCCCGTATCTCCGCTAGTGGAGTTGTCACACATTGTGTTGCAGATTACAGGCTGTGGAAGAGGGGAAAAAAACCATGATGAATGGTCTAATACATTTTATCAAGCAAGTTTAAAGGACAGATTTATTGCACACGGAAATTCAAGTGCTTTTTACTTTCCCTTCCTGGCTTAGCGAAAGAGAACAGAAATAGTGTGATGTAGTGATGAATGCCTTTGATTATCAGTCAGGAAGTTCCCAGGTTATTCTCTCGGCCCGCCCACAATCTTTCCAAAACTGGGTACAGCTTAAAACATACCTAGAGCATTTTTTCTCAATTCTGATCAAAACGAGTTGGGGAAAAGATGCAAAATGCAGCATTTCATAAGAAATGACAGGCTCGATATAGATTGTGGCTAACATTGTGTGTGCACTACTTTCGAGCCATGGATGTAGAGAAAACAGGCATCAAGTGGATTTAGGTCACATTTTTCAGTCATAGTCCCCATCTGAACTATGTTGATGGTAACATGAGGCCACTTTGCAGAGATGTTGAAAGGATGCGAAGCATTCTGAAGTACTGTATTTTGGAAAAGGAAATATACAATTGCTCACTCTGTGCATGATTTTGGTGTTTAGAAAACTGGATAATCACTAGGCATACACAGGATAATAATAATAATAATAATAATAATAATAATAATAATAATAATTAATGTCGTCCATCTGATTGGGTTGCCCCAGCCACTCAGCGCAGCTTCCAGCAAAATATCAAAAACACAATAAAACATCAAATATTAAAAACTTCCCTATACAGGGACATTCTTTCTCTGAAGACAGCGAATAAAATGGTCCCTGGGGTTTATGATAGGTAAAACAACAGGTTGTTATTCTTTGCACATTTACCTGAGAATAAGTTCCACCGAACTTCCTGGTGCTTGCTTCTGAGTGAATAATAATAGGACCAAGCTGCTGCATTGATGGCAAGTGTGGAAGGGTTGTTTCAAGTAGTTTTATCAGAGTGGCCTTCCCTTTGGCCACCATGGTGATTTTACCACTTTCAATTTACATAAATCCCATATACTGTATTTAGCATCTTATTGCAACCAGTAGTTTGATGGTGAAGCCAGGACTTCACATGCTCAACATGACAGACCATCACGCTCCTTTCCCCCCACTACAGAACACCATCTTTCTCAACGTAACAAATTAAGTTAATTTGGAGATGCAGAAAATACTAAAAATGACTGTAAAATGACTGTAAAATTTTTGAAAGGTATAAACCTGAAAAATCATTTTTTAAAAAAGAGAGAACACCATCTTTGTCCTTCAAAACCATATGAACAGGCATTATTGGGGACTATCTCACTGTTCTGGAATTCATGTGGGCCTTCCCTAGGATGCTAGTTATTAAGATAATAGATTTCTTTTACGCTTTTAGAAGTTTAAAATTAAAAATAGATTTTAAAAAACAGGCACCCAGATTCCTTAAATATGTAAAAGGTCTGGGTGAACAGAAAAGTCTTTACCTCATGCTGAAAATACCACAAATATGACACTAGGTGAGCCCGTCTGAGAAGGCTAACTGCGGGAGCCACTTCTGAAGAGGCCATTTCCTGGGTGGCTTTTATTTTTGTACCATTTACTGTCTTCAGTTTACTACTATGACAAAACCTCTTAAATGTTACTTCTTCAGTAAAAAAAAGCTATTAAAAGAAAAAATAACTAGAAAATTAACCCCATTTGAGAAATTAATACAGACATCCAGATTTCATACAAAAACTGTTGCAGAATTGTATGAACTGCTAATAAGTGTAGAACTAAATAGAAATTAGAAAGATATAAGGGCAAGACTTAGAAATACAAATGGCGCATAATAATGTAGCTGTGTTTGTTAAGCATTATAAATATATAAACTCTTGTTTGTATTTGATATTTATAGGAATACACCACCTACCTTGCATGCCTGTTTCCTCTTGATTTGTGTATAGCGTTTATTAAGGCCCTTAATCTTCTCGGCACACCTGGAATTTGGCTTCAGATTCTGAATAGCTTCAAATCCTTTATCAAGACATGACCATTTACAACCAGTCTGAGAAACATAAGTACTATTTTAACATCAAAACCAACTGCACTTATATTAATGACAACTGTGTAAAACACAGTGTTCTGCTAACAGAATATAAAATAGAGTAATAACCCCATCCTTTATATTAGAAAATGGCATAAAACCAGTGCTTTTTTCCTTAAAAAAAAAAGCTTAGGGGTACTCTCGCCATTTTACAGTTCAAATTGGGAAAAATAAGCACAGTAAATGGACAAAAGTAAAAAGATTCACAAAATGTTTAGGGGTATGCCGCCCCCCGAAAAAAGCACTGCATAAAACTGTGATTAGGACTTGAAATATGCATATATTGGATCAGAAATTGTGGCATACTTCTCATAATATAAAACTACCATGTTATTGCTAACATTGTCATTCATGGTCAAATGTATTATTAGTGTGCGTTTATATTTCAGCAATGGAATGGAAGCCATCCTTAATGGTTAAGTGAGCGGAGGCGTAACCCACTGTGATGGGCTCTGTTGGAACTCATTATTGTCTCCCCATTTATTTCTTGCAGCATCATCTTGGTTGAACTTTTAACAGATCCTATAACTCAGGCATCCCAAAACTCGGCCCTCCAGATGTTTTGGGACTACAACTCTCATCATCCCTAGCTTACAGGACCAGTGGTCAGGGATAATGGGATGATCCCCAAAACATCTGGAGGGCCGAGTTTGGGGATGCCTGCTGTAACTTTTTTTTTATTTTTATCTTCCTGTTTTTAAAAAGTGACTTCTGGCTCCTGCTTGTGGCTACCGCTGGGGTCCAGTCCATGCACTTGAAATCACTGCTGTGCCTCCCACTTTATGATGAGCTGTCACTCTCTAGGCAGTACTCAGTGCCAGTACTACTAATCGAGATTGATAGAGTGGTGGCACAGCTAAAAATCAGGGTAGAGAAAGTCCCACAGAACAACAGGTTTTCTTGATGACGTGCTATTGCCCTCTGAGAGGATTCTTCACATTTTAAATGTGATTTATGTCCAGGTTACATGCTTTGTGTTCAATTTTTCCATCATAGACCCCTTGCTTCCCTGTGGTAGCCACTTTTAGACCGGTTACTTTAAAAAAAACCACAACAGAAGTGTGCTGTGCCTAACCTTGGAATGCACATGGGACGTTGCTGTTGCAACCAAGTCAGCCACTTAGTAGTTTTTTGAATCATTCAAATTTGACTTCTGAACTGACCAGTTATGGGTTTTGATGTCATAACTAATTATAGCCTTCACCCGGCCTGGCCTGATCTTTATTTCTATAAATTTTAAAGGGCACAGGGAAACCAGATATGTAAGAACATAAAATTATCTGGTCTGAAGTGTAAGGGAGACAGATTGTTAAATGCTGTTGCATATATATATATATATATTGGATGTCTAATATACTTAACGTAAAAGTGCATAGGTCACCTAGGGGCCACCTAAGTTTTATTCTGAAAATCTCAAATCATGCCAATTTATATGTCTTTAAATTGGGCTCCCAGGTATTTGTTCAGTCAGGCAACAAACTCCCAAAATAAACTAAGCTATGCCAGTCTTATAAACACCGGAGAAGGACTTTCTGTTTCCAAGAAGGAGGTAGGTGATCAGCAGACACTGGATCGTTCATGCACTTATCCCATATAACATTTCCAGTCCGATAAACAGCTCTCTACGGTTCCTTCATGAGAAAATGGTCTTAGAACAGAGTGGACCATCTGCTTGCCATAAAAATGTTTTTAAAAGCCTAGCCTCTAGGGTTGAAACCATCTGCATAATTACTTAGCAGTAAACCCCATTGAACCCAATGGATCTTATTTCCAATTAAATACTTGCATAGGATGAGATTGTGCATCTGTTGAATGCAGTTCTCAAGGCATAGCAGGGGGAATGGTTCACATCCAAACCTAGTATGTTTGGTTTTTAAAAAACCTTAGCTCTGGTGAATATTTTGAAATTAAGAGTTTTGTCATTTTACCTACAAGTCTTCAGTTTAATGCAGTACTTAAAATGATTTCAAGAGAGCATTTAAAGCTTCTTTACCAAAACCGAAAACAGTTGTATAGTTCTGAATCTGAATTAGCCAAACTAATTTTTTTTAAAAAAAGGTATGACAGGTTGACAAAATCCGACAGTTTTCTTGTAAATATTAGATTTCCCCCCTTCATTTGTAGGGAGCAAGAGGGAATTTTGTTTCATGTTTTATGCATTTTTGGCTGTCGTTTTTTAGATATATTGAAACATATATATGTTACAAAAATGATACAGTATGATTCATGAGAGGAGTTCAGCACTGTTGATTTCTGTGAAACTTAAAAACTGACACAGTTTCTAGTTTATTCACTTTGATGCATATTTCACATTTCAGAACCATGCACTTTTCATGCTGGTAAGATCAACAAAAGCCATTGGGCCACATTTCACTTCTTAAGACCCCTTTGTTTTAATCTTTTCATAACCCAAAATTTATAACATGTTCAAATTTCATTTGCAAATTTCATCCTTGCAATTTCAAGAAAGGTGATGATTTTGATATAGTTTTTACCAGATCCAGATAATGGTTTTTTGGTTTTTTTTGCAACAACTGTCTGGAAAAGAAATCTAATGAATCCATTGCTTCTACTTTCATATATTAAAAAAATCAACACGAATATATACTGTAGATGTACAGTATATGTTGAAAGTAGAGTGAGTGCATGCAGTCTGTTTAACATATCTAAGTTGCCGATAATTTTTATTGGTGTTTACTGGTTTTAATGGTATGGTTTTATATTGTAAACCACTCTCATTTTTTTAAAATGAATAGTGGTATATCAATGTTTGTATAAATTTATGTGAACCGCCTTGAGACCTCGGGTATAGGACGGTATAGAAATTTTAAAAATAAATAAATAAAATAATTTGTTGGGAGGTGGTCTGTCTTATTAAGTTGGATCTAGAGTTCACTTCTGCCAGTGGAAACAACCTCAGAGCGGCAGTGTGGGATCTCTGGAGCAATGTGGGAGGTGTTGTTTGAGGCTCCAAGGGAAATGGGGAAATTGACAGCTATCATCTACTCCTGTCCATCAGCAGCATTCTTCTGCTAGATCAAAAGCATTCTGTGAAACAGAAGAAGCATTTCTGTTTGTGGAAGATGAAATCCAGGTCTAACCAGTTAAGTGTTATGTTTATTTAAGATGATGATGATGACGACGACACTCTTACACATATTATAATTTTTTAAAATGCTCTTACACCTTTTAAGCTAATCTGGGAACAACATTCTCATCTCCTGCTAATTAATAACAATTCTGAATAGACATGTTAATAGCATTATTGGTATTAACTTGTTCATTCTTGCAAGAATTTTAAACAGAATTTTAAAAAGAATTTTAAAATTTAAATTTTAAATTTAAGAACAACAATGTATATAAGTCAAGGGCTTCAATCTTCCAAGGTTTTTGTAATTTAAGTGTTTGAATTGTTTTCTTACCCACTTAGTAGGAAGACGTAAGTTTACCTGAAAAGGTGGAGAAAAATCAGCATTAGATCAGCATGGCTCAAATATTTGTAAAAATAATATTTGCAAAAAAAGACTTGTACACTTACAAATTCTCTGTTCAGGCAAGTTTTACTGTTATTCTGAAATGACAATATTATAACAATTTTATTATAACTATGATCATTTTGTAAATAGAAAATAATGGTAATCTAAAAATAATATTAAGCTGTATATACTTACAAGGCTAATTATTTTATTTCTGAACTCATTGACATTGCACTGGTTCACTATGTTCAAACAACAAAAAGCCACATAAGACAGCATTGTGGAGTTCATTCTGTTTGATGCCAGCAAAGTTGCTAGAGAGACTCCTTTAAATTGCGATTTGATCAAAATTCCGTTTTTCACAAGAAGTGGGGAAAAGACTCGTCTCAGAACCGAAACTCAGTAGCCATTTCCGCTTCTTCTAAGGTAACGGTACATTTTAGTGCTAGTAAATTTGGAAATGAGTCATCTGTGTTTGTGGTTTTCCTTCAGACAGGGAAAATTTTATTTAACTTTTAACACAGTGATAAAATTGACTATGATTGAATAATGTCACCATAGGAAGCCATCACTGTATAATCTTGATGAAAGTAGGTGCATTTTCCGTACTTAGTAGATTCTTCCAGTTGAAACTTCCACCCAATATTGAAAAACTGTTGCATGTATTCTGAAGTTACAGCATTTCGCTTGATTCCAAAATGTGTCCTACAACATCATGGAATTTTCTTATGATCACAACTGAAGAACTCTTGTTCTCTTACTCTGCTTGGCAAAACTGCACCTTGAATTAATATCACAGAAGCTTGCAAGTGCTGTCTTGAAGAACTTGGATTAAATATTAGGTCCCAAAACTTGATATATACCACTATGATAAGTTGTCAAGGTGCTCACTATACACAGTACCTGAGTAAGTGACGAAGCAGGTTGGTCAAAATGAACCTATATAATTGCAGAAAAATTGGTTCGTCTTGCTTCTAAGATACTTACCTTTCTACCCTGAATTTGCTGGGCTGTGCAAGTTGCAGAACCTGTCTTCTCTCGCCTATGGATAAGGCATTCTATGCATGTCGCATTTTTATAAATTTTGAAAATCCGTAATCCGTCAAGTTGCTAGGCTTGTGAGACATGCCAAATGAAAAATAACTTGAAGACAAAATTCATCATCCTCTGCTCCTTTTGCCTTCTTCACTTTATCTCTTTATAGCATTTATCTTGTTTAAAGCTCTGTTTGACACCCATAGAGTTGTTGCAAGGAGAATACCTCCCTCTTTCTGTCCATGTCTCCCTGTTTCTATGCTTGCTTCTCACCTACAAGACTGAGCAGCTTTCCTGGGGTGGAACAAGGAACCCGCCTTTATCCCTGAAGAAGTTCCTGTTGATGTGAGTGTGTTGTTTGTACCTTTTTAATGCATAAATCCGCAAGCAGGGCCTAGTATAATCTTATCAGGAGTAGCCAA